TATAGTGTCAACTGGATGGGACCAGGTTGGGCTGATCCACGCTGCATGGGATTCAAAGCTCTTCAGCAGACCCATGACACATGAGCCCATTCCATGAAGAGACGGGTTGACCCAGGATCCAAGGCATATTTAATTCATGGGGTACTAGCTGACTGACCATGTCACCGTGCTCGGCTTCTTGGTAGGTGATGGACCCGACCCAGTAAACTGCATGATGACCGGCAATGAAAAGCCGAGGTAAACTTGGCAAATAAAAATGAGACGGCTGTGGGCTGATCCACAATGCATGGGATTTAGAGCTCTTCAGCTGACCCATGACACATGTTGAGCCCAATCCATGAAGAGATCGGTTGACCTAGGATCCAAGGCATTTTTAGCTATGTCAATTCATGGGGTACACTTCTCAGCCGATGCACAGTACCAGTCCTAAGAGAGTCTTGATGGCCGGTCCACCTTTGATGGGGTCAACTGATCCATGGGCTCATCAGCAGGCACCATCAACTATGGTCTGTTTGTATGGTCGGGGGGCTCAGTATTAGTGGGGTAAGGTAACTAATACTTGTGCAACGATTTGAGCGCATTTTCAATGTCTGAAACGGGGTGTCAGAGGTTGTCCTGGAAGGAACGACAAGAGTGGGACCCTTACCAGTCATCGCGGACGATGAAGTGGTTGCTTGCACTTCACGATCAGTGATGTCGGTCATTGAGAACGAGCTTTGACAGGAGGGGTAGCAAAAACGTAGATGGCGTTGAGACATGGATTGACGGTTGGGATGAAAAACTGAATATCGAATCCTTACATCGAGGCGGTTTTTAAAGATGAGATGGGGCTTCTGACAGTATTCCCACAGTGAAAAAAAAAAGCTTTAAGGTGGACTGATCCATACGTACCTATACACTTCTGCTTCCCTCCTGCCCCACCTCCCCACCTAAAAGCCAAATGAGCGATAACGTTGATGCTGGTGGTGTGTAAGTGCACTGTCGAGCTTGTCTTTGTTTTTTGTTGGAACTGATGTTATTCTGGGAATATTCAGGGTTGCCGCACAGCCACTGCTCCGTCCGCTCCTGCATAACTGGGCCAAGGGAGAGCGCCTTGCTTTTCTTGAGGGGTACATCTCTGACTACAAGGAGGGATTGCTTAGCAAAAAAAAGTCTGCTTCTGTTCTTGACGCCATCGTAAACCAATGGTTCACCCGCTTCCATTGGTCCATTCCACTTTCTGCCAACGATAATGCGACCGCCACTGTCTTCGCTCTCGACAGCCAAGGCCATGAAATCTTGGGTTCAGCCGACTCGATTCTCAAGGGCCGAGTAATCGAACGGGCGCGTACTGTACGTGACCTTCGATGATTGATCAAATTGTATTATACTAAAAGTTTTTTCTTTCAGTCTCTCTACCATTGGTACGAATACCGCTGCAAACGTATGACCTCGCTGCTCCCTCGTCCATCCAAAGGGAAGAAGGATAATCTGACCCTCCTCGTGGAGAAATTTCTCGGGCGTAGCGCCTCGTCGTCTAGGCGTAGCGCAGGCTGGGAGGTATGGGGAAAGGAACATTTCCCATCAATGAAGGCAGACTTTGAGGCAGAATTCGCTGCGAGCGGTAGACCCAAATCAGCGCGTGCGAGCGCTCGCAATGAGTTCAAATTAGCGCAATGGAAGGAGCTTGATGAAGAGACGCAGGAACATTGGAACGAGACCGCCAAAACGAAGCACGCCACGACCAAAAAAGCAACGCAGGATTGATTGCAGAGCTCAGGGTTGCTGGAACCAGCAGAAGCTCAAGCGTGAGTGTCGTATATTTTAAACTCGACACAATCTGATCTTTTAACCTACAGTGTTTACAACGAGCTGCCCAATCTGTTCGGAACGTTAATCCACGTCATCGGCGAGGCAGTTGGTATGCATATCACAGTCCTGATCGGCGGTCCTGAACCGAAAAGAAAGGGGCAGCTGAACATGGTTGGGTAGGTTTAATATTTTATAACATTTTCGGCGTACTAATGCAGGCTCAGTATTCATGCCGGCGAAAACAAAGCCCCCATCCCAAAAGTGTGGGCACATGCCGAGAAAGAGAAATTTGCCGCAGTCTCGGAAGTGTTCCTGACTTTTCTGTCGACCTGTTACAGTACGTATCCTCTGTTTTACAAATTCCATCACTAATTTACATCCACTTTTACTTTACATTAGCTGCCGACGAGCAGCGCGCGCGTGCATTGCCTCAACCAGTAACCGACGCTGATCCTATGCATGCTGGCCCATCCTCCTCAACCCCTGCGCCAGACCCCTCCACCGAAAACTCAACCAAGCCCTCTAATTCCTCGGGGTTAGCAGACAGTGGACGCAAGCGGAAGAGAAGCGCGGAAACGAACGTGAAGAAGGTCCAGAAGAGTCGGCTCAAGGCCAAGAAAGGTAGTATTGCAAAGAAGAAGCCGACTAAACGCCGCAAAACGACAGCCGACGCTGAGGCATCAGCGACCGATTCTGCTTCGGAGGATTCGGATCCAGAGCACTCAGGGGAGGACGATGACGAAGACGAGGACGAGGGGGATGAGGATGAGGACGAGGACGAAGATCAGGACGAGGATGAAGACGAGCCACAGACAATGACCCGCAAAAGCACCAGGAACACAAGCATGGATCCGAGGCGTTGGAAGGGTGCCAAAGCTGACGTTGATACCATCAAGATCAACGTCAGCACTGCCTTCCCATCTCCATCGAACACTTCTGCGTTGCCATCTCCGCCGACTGCTCATTCCTTGCCGTCCCCCCCAGTGGATCCCCCCGTTATCCCGCCTCGCACTCCTTCCATGCCTGGCGGCTCGCTATTGGCAACTTCCCCTCCACCAGCTCCTTCGTCTAACGACAGCCCGACATCTGTCTCCGGTGCACAAGCGTATGCTTCTTGGCCACCAGTGGCTACCACCTTTATCATAAAACTAAGGCACTTGCCTGTAGAGCTGTGTGTATAAGTCCACAAGTTTTATGAAAGGCCTTTCATAGGTGTGTCCTGTGTCTTTCTTTCTCATAAAACCTATGTTCTTTTCATAAGATATAGGCAAGGCCACAGAGTGCTTTTCATAATTAAACCTGTGCGCTTTCAATAGGTATTTCATTCACTGGGTTAGGTGTATTCATTGCCTTTTTCATAATTAATGGTGTGCACTTTCATTGAATATTTCATTAGGAATTTTGGGCGCTTTCATTGCTTTTTTCATAATTAATCCTGTGTGATTTCAATAAATATTTCATTCACTATGTTAGGTGTATTCAATGCCTCTATCATATCTAATGGTGTGCGCTTTCATTGAATATTTCATTAGGAATATTGGATGCTTTCATTGTACTTTTCATAATTAATGTTGTGCAATTTCAATAAATATCTCA